TCATGACCGTAGGTAAGTATGGGGATAAAGATCGACTTGAATATTGAGAGCTTAGTTTTCAGACCGAGCTACTTTTATTTCCTTTCAATTGAATTTCCTGCTTGAAATATAGCTATACAAAGTCAAGTCTTCAGCCTGATTTGGGGAAAGGTGAATTTCTACCAAGAATATACTTAATCTAACAGCGTGTCATAAATGGAACGACGGATTTTCTGTAAAGCTCTGTATCATCGGATATGCATTGATATTTGTCATGCACGTTGTATGGTCGCTTTCATATGTCGCGCCTATAAAGGTATTTAATGTTAGTGTTTTTTTTTCACAAAGGGAACCATAGATTTTGTCGTGATCTGTCGTTTCTGTAACTCCGAAAAAGTAATAATGTACAGTCAAGCAAGAGCTTCTGTTCCATTCACGCATTCAGTTTCGTAAGAAATAATCAGAGGTGCAGCTTGAGTCGGTCCTGTTCAGCTGAAAGGGTTTAACTTAAATATGTTTTGTTCTTTGCTATCATTTTTCCCATGTGTCGATTTCAGCTTGGTGGTACCGTCGGTGATATAGAAAGTATGCCGTTTGTTGAAGCATTCCGACAGTTCCAGTTCCGCGCAAAGCGCGAAAATTTCATGAGCGTGCACGTTAGCCTTGTACCTGAAGTAAGTAAATCCAGTTCGCGTTGATATTCTTAATAGAGTCTTAATCAATATAGCGAAACTTTTACGTGATCTCCTCAGACAGCCAGTCTGTTCTGTTTATAAAAATCGTGTCATGTCCAGTTTGTTGATAACGATTTTGTGCTACATTTTTTCTAGAGTTGGCCGTCTGGTTAGGGGCAACCGATGCAATTCAATACTGTTTACTAATGCATGTAGCACTGTTATCTGGAATGGGTGTCTTGCCAAAGGTGGCACAGGCAATCGTGGCATTGTGGTAATGCGTTTACAGGAATGGAAACTTCTACTCTGATAGGAGTTCTGCTTCAAAATCTGGAGGTGCCTGGTACGATTCCGGCAGAAGGAAATCTGTCATAACCTTGAATTCCCTTGAGCATGGATTTTACTTCATGTTGCTTCATACCGCGGCTGCTCTTTCGGTGGGGAGGGGGTGGGGTGTCGGATTCAAAACCGTTTCTTGGGTTGGAATCGCCGTCAGGGCTATTTGCCTTTCTTCCTTCTGGGGTTGACAAATGGTACCTCTCTCTATGAGGGAATCAGAAGACCACACACAATGCTTATCACAGCTGCTGTCGACTTTGCCTTCAAAATAAAGTGCTTGGTTGATGACACGGAAATGAGGATTAGCGCCCCACCATTAACTTAATGAAAAGAAAGAAATGTCCCCTTCATAAACGTGTAGTGAAGACCAACATTCCAGCGGTCACAAACTATCTTTTTCCAGTAAACAGGCAAGTTTCACGGCTTGGATTCCGATGATGCAAAATGTTAAATCTACTCAGACAACCTGATCGTCCATATGTCCTTCTCCATCACCACAGGTTTTGTATAGATAGTATTTAAATCTTTGCAAAATGGTAGTGAAATGTTTTCGGATAGACTTTCAGTGGGTATTTCACCTCCATGAAACTCTAGCTTGTTTAACTCTGAGTTCATCTTTGAATGACATGACTGCTATGATGTATAAGAACAGTTTTTATCTGATATCCGCTAATTAATGAGGTGTTTTATATTGTAGCTTAACAACGGCGAGCAAAAGACGAAGCCAACGCAGCACAGCGTCCGTGAATTACGGGGCTTGGGAATTTCACCAGACCTTGTAAAGAATTAGAAGGTTTTGGATTGTCGACGCTGTGTTCACTTCACACGTTTAGATCATATGTCGCAGCCAGACTCTGCTCTCACCCAGTGTCAAGAACAAAATCTCAAACTTCTGCCACGTCACTCCGTCGCAGGTAACGCACCTATACTAACGCCGCCATGCCAGATTAGCGCCTCGTTTTCAGGTTGTGTCTGTGCAGGACGTAGCGAACATTTACTACGTTCCTTTGCTCTTGGAAAAGCAGCACACTCATGAAATGATCTACGAGCGCCTTCACATTACGCCACGAAGTGCTGATACGAATGTACTGAGTCCTTGGAAAGAAATTGCATTCCGGTAATATTTGCTTGCCGTCTTTTTCCAT